GACTCTAGATTCATCAACTAAGAAGAGAAGGACTAAGAACTGGTGGCCAGGAGCAGACTTGCAGAATGTGCCCTTTGTAGATGTAATTTATTATATAAGCTTGAGTGGGTTTTTTTGTTTGTGTGTTTTTTTTAAAAAAGCTGAAGTGGATAAAGAGAAATACTTTTAACTGATGGTATATGGAGGGGACTATAATCAATGTAATGAAACAAGTTATATGAATTGTTTAATGTGAAACTGATGATGTGCCCTGTAAACTTTCACTCAATCCACAATAAAAACCTTTAAAAAAAAAAAACCCCACTATTGTTGATATTGTCAAGTGCCTCGGATTGGTTCTGAGGAGTGACTGGTAGGTTTGAACTGGCAATCTTTTAGTCAGCAGTCTAGTGTTTATCCTACAGTGCCACAACAGGACTCCCTGTTAAGTGCTGTCCAGTCAGTTCCAATTCATAGTGACCCTATATAGGGATATCCAAGGAGCAGCTGATGGGTTTTAACTGCCAACCTTGTGGTTAGCAGTCTAGTGCTTACCCTACAGTGCCACACCAGGACTCTTTAATAACATGAGGGGGAGATAACAAACAAAAAGAGGGTAGATTAGAGACTTCCAGAAAGACAGTGCACTAGGCAGAGGCACTACATGGACCCTCTACAACAAAGATTCAAGAGACCATATGAAACAGACACATGAAAATCCTGATGCCTTGAACCTCAGAGGGAAGGCTGGAGAAGTGGACTGAGTGCTTGCTGGAAGGAGAAGCTGAGTAGGGATGGTGAGAGAGAGAGAGACTGACTGGTGACCAACCAGCCAGATGCAGCCTAACCATCTTGTGAGCAGCTCTGGCAGCAGCAGCTGGCCTGATAAAGCAGGATTCACGCAGGGGACAGGAAAGGTGCGATTCTTTCTTTGTCCTCACTCTCCTCTGGTGACCAGAGGTGTGGCCAGCTCCCAGCTTCATGCACTCCTGGGGCAGGGCCTGCTCTTTGGGAATTCGGAGCCATGTGGTTGGAAGTCACACCAGTGTGAGGTGGGGGCTGGCTGTGTCGCTTTGGTGCCTGGATTCAGGTCAGCTCAACTCCAGGTCTACAGAACCCACAGAGCCCCCAGACCAGCATTTAACCAGTCACCCTGCCCCTAGCTGTCCTGTGATCCTAACAGGCACTAAAACCAGCTCCATCGAGGACCTCCACGAACTAATTCCGGATTGAGTATCTGAACACAGATAACACCGAGGCCAACAGGAACCCTATGTAGGGCCAGGAACTCTGCCACCACATCCTTTCCACACCCACCACATGAACTCTGTGGCTTGTAGGAGCCCCCAGAGTTTTCTTCTCTCCAAGTCCAATAGTTGCACTGTTTCTGTGTTTTGATTTTGGGGTTTGGTTTTTTCCTTTTTGTTGTTTCATTTTTTTTTTAGCTTGCTTATTCTTTCTCCTCCTTCTTCTCTTTTCATACCCTTGAATGTTATACTTTTTATCTGCTTTTGTTTTTCCTTTTTTTCTTCTGTTTCTCATCTCTTTTTTTCTTCCTTTTGATCTTTCATTACTACTCTCTAATCTCTTTCTCTTTTCATTTTCCCTTTCTCTCCCTGGGTTTTCTACATGGCTTTTATTATTATTATCTCTTCCTTTGATTTTCTTTTGTATTCTTATCTTTTACAATTCCATTTCCCTGTCCCTCTTCTGTCTTCATGGTTATGATGTTCTTTTTTTTCTGGTTGCTGTCTGTTTCCATTTCTTTCTTCTCTTTATTATTTTCTCTTTTTAGTGTTTGTTTATTCTACGGTTTTTTTTCCTTATGTGTGTGTGGGAGAGATTTTCTCTTTCTCACCCGACAGGAGACAGCAACCATATCCATATAGCCAAGCCACAACTGGACCCTCTGCAGCTCCACACAACTGGGCAAGAGTCAATACCAGCTCCTAAAACCATCTGATTAATGATAGACAATAGCCAACACCAGTCAAGCCCACCTTAAATTGAGATACATAAACAGCAAATGAAAACCATGTATAAGCTTTCATTCTCTAATCATTACACAGGAGACAATTGGGGAGAGACTAAGAACACATCAACATACAATCATCTCTTAAATACAAATACAACAACCATATAATGTTCCAGAGACAATTTTAGCTCACATGAAGAAACAATAGAGAATGGTCCAAAAAAATAACCAAGATGCAGAACAAGAAAGCATTTCTAAGTAAGAAAAGTTAAAAGAACTAACTGAAGAAGAGTGATATTTAGGTACCTTCAAAGGATTAACAAAGACCAAGGAAAGCAAGGAGAACACAGAAGAAAACTTCAGAAGAATTCAGGAAAACACTACAAGAACAAACAGACAAAAAATAATTGCAAAATTTTAAACAAAACCTGCAATTAGAAATCCAGAAGATTAATACTAAGATTTTAGATATGGATAATACATTGAAAGGGCAAAGGAGTAGAGTCAAACCAATGGAAGCCAGAATTAGTGAACTTTCTCTCAATACTAGTAAGTTAGAAGAACTATCAGAAAATCTGATGAAAACCTAAGAGTTATGTAGGACATCATGCAATGGAATAACTTATGGGTTATTGGAATTCCAAAATAGGAAGAGACAATAAATAGCACAGAGAAAATTGCCAAAGAGTTGCTGGAATAAAACTTTCTTAACATCATGAATCCTGGTGTGGTTGTGGGACAATGCAAACCCTGTACAGGATCACTGAGTCAGAACTGACTCAAAGGCACTCAACAACAACATCATGAAAGATGGGAAGTAAGCTTCCAAGAAGATGAGAGAACCCCAAACACGACAGATCCCAAAGAAAATTACCAAGACATACTGTCATCAAATTTTCTAAAACCAAGGAAAGAATCCTGAGAACAGCTCTCTAAAAACAAAAGTTTCCAACAAAGGAGAACCAATTAGACTAAACTCTGATTTCTCAGCAGAAACTATGCAGGCAAGAAAGCAATGGGATGACATATAACTCTAAAAGAAAAAACCTGTCAATCAAGAATCATACACCCAGCAAAGCTGTCCTTCAAATATGACGGCAAAATTAGGACATTTACTGATAAACAGAAATTAAAGGAATTTGTAATGACCAGATCAACATTATAAAAAAATGCTAAAGGATATTCCTTGAACTGAGGACCAACATCAGCAGACAATACCATCCAAAACACAATCCATATATAGAAGAAGTATTTAAAGTAAAACAAAATCTACAAGACTGAAAATCAGAAGCCAGAGTTATCAATGTATAATGAAGTCAACTATAAAGCAAAAAAAAGGGAATAGTGTAGATGCAGAACTTCAAAATGGCAAGGAGGTCAAGTAGATTTCAAGATAAAACAGACTGTTTTAAATAGGGAAAAAATAAATAAATTACAGAAGGAGCTCTGGTAGCGTAGTGGTTACGAATCGGGCTGCGAACCTTAAGGTCAGTGGTTCGAAACTACCAGCCG